GAGCGCTAGCCAATAGAAGCGCATGTGTTACGAAGTGAAGTCACTATACGAATTTAACAAAGGATGTGAGGGAAAAACCTATATAAAACTCTACAGGAAAGGAAAAACTCCAAAAAGCATAATCGGCCCCCTTTAAGTGATACTTTAACTATAAGTTTTCCTACATATTGTTCCGCTGCCTTGTTTCAAAATGTTGGTTATGTCTCTCAGAAAGTAACGTGCAGCCTACGCATTCCCGCTAACAATACAAACACAAACTTCTTTCTCTTGAATAATTAAATGTAAATGTCAACAGATGCATTAAGGATATATGAGTGTCTGTGCACAACAGCTCATTGAAGAGCACACACTTAATCTTTCCCTGTCTCCCTGTGCTTATCTGGGGAAAACTCTCGATTAGCCATGCAATAAACACAAAGAGAAGAGAACAAGGGAAAGTGTCCACGCACAATACCAGCACACTGACATTTCAGAACATCGTAATGGCTAATTAAATGCAGGTGTCTTGCTTTGAAGCAAATGTCATGTTCTCTGCATCATTCTGTGTGCATGTGTGTGAACATACAGTATGTGTTTGTCTTTTCATGGTTTTCATTCTAGCAGAAAGGCTGTTTCCAATCTCCACTGACAAACTGATCCGCAACAACAGATTTTTTGTTGCCACATGAGGCCAAAATGATTTCCAGAGGGCTTCTCCAAATCAAGATCTTAATCCGACACTTCAGACGGAGAGTCGGGATGAGAGCCGCGAAGGGAAACTCTAAATGTCTTCGGTCAAGAAGAAGGATGATTAGAGATTTCTTTTTAAGAGATTTTAGTCTTGATTTTTATCTGATGCGTTTGAGAGGAGATAAGAGGGAGTGAGGCAGGATAACGGGCGGAGGGAAGGGAGAGAGTGTGAGCCAGGAAGAGAGACAGAGATGAGATTAGAGAAAGCCAGTTTACCAGTGTGTATTAAATCCACCGCTCTATCAGTGACAGAGGACTTGTTCCAGCCGTGTGCGTTTGAAGGGATGAGCCACCTAACCAGAGCGTGACTCCATTTGGGCTTATTGTGTACGAAAGTGTGCGTGTGAGAGAGGTGCCGTTTCTAACACGTGTGTGTCAAGTCCACATAGTGTGTCCACAACGAGACAAGCTCCTTTGAACAGATGTCTGAATGTATTACTTGTATTTCTTCTTATTTTTAGATTAAATGTCCTTCTTTTTTTCAGGCAGTAATCATACAGTATTTGTTTTTTAGCCAATTCCCATCCATGTTGTTGCAAGATTATTAGTTATCCATATACAGTAGAAAATGAATGTTAAGTCATTTTCCCTACACATTTGTTCCTTGCTGTTTTTCATGTGTTTCCTTCCTTACTTTCAGTACATTTGTTTTTGAGATGTTTTGTTTTTAAACTAGAAAATGAATACTATTCTCTGGTTCCTTATCGTACCCTAACCCCATTTCTCCTCTACATTCCCACCTTCTTCTTCTCTTATCTCCAGCGCTCACCTGCTTACTCATCCTTCCACCCATCCATCCATAAGGGAGAAACCACCTGATCCAAGCCCAGAGGCAGTGACCCTGCCCTGTCGTTATGTCAGAGCCACACCACCTCATTGTCTCCTTGTTTCTCCATCACAGGCTAAACACATTTGTATTCCACAGGAGAAATAATGACTCTCTGACCTGGCTCCTCTGTCTGGTAATTAATTGGGGGATGGTGGTAGAGCGTGGGATAAATGGAAAGAGAGACAGTGCAGTAAATGGGGAAAATTGAAGTTGAATAAAGGAATGTAATAGGGTTGCGACTATAGTGAAGGATAAACCTGTTTAAAGTCATTTAATGCACCTTTATCCGTGCTGATTACAGTTTCATAAGCAAAGATAAGATGACATAAGTCATGGTGACTTACATTTATTGTACCGTGCACTGAACAAGGCTTAGTCTGCAATGAGACCATAAACCCTACGTAAGCTAAACATAATTGGACCGTCATTTAAGTCTTTCTGTGGAGTACACGCCAGTTGAAAGACATGAAGAATGATCAGCGTCTGAAAGTATCAAACATTTGTACCCAGTGACTTGTTTTCACTTTGCAAAAACACAGCATTTCCCATGGAAAATAATTGAACTGAAACAATTGTTGTTTTGTTTGTCGGCCATGTTTGAACAACTGTGCTTAAAGAAGCAGTCTTGCAAGGTTCAAATAAACACTGATAAGCATGCTGGGTGTGAAGGAGTCTTGGTTTCATGTAGTGACACCCAGACAAGGAAAATAATAATGGGAAATGATCATCCTCATAATCCCATCTCACCATACCTCTAACATCTCTGCAGGTTATCTTTGTTGTTTAGTCCCAATTACATATTGCCCGTTCCTACCACAAACTATGTATCACATATTCATTCACAAAGCACATAATGACCTGTTCTCCTATTCTCTCAGAAGGCAACTGATCTTTCTCTTAGTTCAAATCTCTTTGTGTTTTGTCTCCTTCCATTCTGTCGATCCCATTTCCAACAAACAAAGAGAGCAACAGAAATGTGTTTCTAACCTAATCAGTTGTTTGGCAGCAGGATGTCTGTCTGGCCAATCAGCTGCTAGTTTGATCTCTAAGCATCCAATCAGCTCTTCATCTCACACACTTTGAACTCCCGCCAAATCCAATCAGCTTTGAGTTTAAAGGCCTTAAAGAACCAATCATTCTCCAGTTTGATCTGGGGTTTGAATCTCATTTGGTTTGAATACTTTTCTGTGTCTGACTGTGTGTGTTTGTGTAAATAAATGCTACCGTAAACAGAGTCATGGTGAAACCTTTGAATACTCAATCAATGTGTGAATATAATCTAATAAAGCCAGATATGTATGTGTGTGAGCCTTTTCTTTGAACTGAACTCACTCACACAAACACACACATATATATACACACACACACACACACACACACACACACACACACACACCACACACACACACACACACACACACACGCACACACACACACACACACACACACACACACACACACCACACACACACACACACAGCACTATGTCAGCCTAGACAAGTTAATCAAAGATAAGAGAGCGACAGGCCTTTTCATTACGGGCATCAGCTCCCAAACAAAGGCTAGTTGACAGGCCGGCTAACTAATTAAGCACAAACCAACACACACACCCACACACACACACCACACACACACACACACACACACACACACACACACACACACACACACACACACACACACACACACACACACACACACACACACACACACACACACACACACACACACACACACACACACACACACACACACACACACACACACACACACACACACACACACACACACACACACACACACTGGATAAAGTTATTTGAAGGTACTAAAGCAGCTGTAGACAAACAATGCTCTAATAGAAACCCAAGACAGCAGCAGCACATTGGGTATTTTTTTCTCCAACTACGCATTCAAGGCGATTATCTGCACTATTTTGACTTAAAAGAAACACAAAACAAGTGTTAGATAACTCATATTTTGCTCCATTTTAACAGTGGTTTGACCCTTTCTAATAATTATGCTTGCAGTGGGAGCAGTTCATTAAAGTGTTACCTTGAGTTGATGTTCCCAGTTAGTCTTAACTGTGGAGGATAAGCTGAAAAACTCTCCTTAACTACCACATTAAATCAAATGTATTAAATCCACACCTTAGTGTAAAAACAAGTTACCGGAGGTTACAGTATGTACTTGAATTATTGTTTTTTTATTACTGCATCTTTTGAACATTGAAGAGATGCAGTAATGTGATCCTGCCTACAGAGGGCAAGTGACTCCAACTAACCAATGAACTGTGAAGATTCTGCAGTGAAACAGAAAAAGAAATCTTCCACTTTTGATTTTCTCTGATATTTAACACCAGTGAAGTCTTCTTAACCGTCTTACTCGTTACATAAATTCTCTCTTGTTTCCTTTTAAGTCCTCATACACGCTTTCTTTCATCCCATGCATTACGTTTCGCTTCATGCATGTATTCTCTTTTCCCTCTGTGCATGTTCCCTAAAGCCTTTATTTCTCACTGCATGCGATCTCTCTCCTTCTACGTCAATCTCTGCATAATGTATGGTCTCTCTCACACGCTAGGTTTCCTTATAGCTCCATCTTCACATGTACGCTGTTTCTCTCTCTTCATGGGACATTAACATCAGCTTGGCTTATAACAGATCCTGACAGAGACAAGGCAAAGTAAACATTTCCCCTTTTCTCTCCTCCTCTCCATCCCATATACACACACATCTTTGTTTCTCTGTCACTGTGTCGAGAGGCTGAAACACACACAATGGCAACAACATCATCTCCCATCTGGTCAGTGTTCGTCTGTCCAAAACACAAGCCAGTCCTTTTTCCAGTAACCATTTGAAATCATAAACACACACACATGCACAAACACAAACAATCACCCCATGACTTGATGCAGTTGGCATCATTAAAGTAGCAAAATGTGTAATGATCGACACAACACACACATCAGAGGAACACACAGAGTTCAACATACTATTACACTGCAGGTGGTCATACTAAACATTACACATCTGCTTCTTCAACCACGCACGCACACACACACACACACACACACACACACACACACACACACACACACACACACACACACACACACACACACACACACACACACACACACACACACACACACACACACACACACACACACACACACACACAACACACACACACACACACACACACACACACACACACACACACACACACACACACACACACACACACACACACACACACACACTTTTCCTTACAGTAGTTCTCCTTCCTCCCACACACTCTGTAACGGCTGAATAGAGCCATTTCTAACTCTCCCTCTTCCTTTCCTCGAATATGTATAAGTGCTCTTTTGTCACAGCCTTGGACTCTTTCTTTGGTCTTTTTGTTAAATCACACACGCACAAACTCTTTCCACTGGTCTTACCTGCGCTCACAGTGATGGCCTCTATGAACTGGTCTCTCCAGCTGTTGGTTCCCACCAGCAGAGCCAGGTTGGTCTTCTTTATCAGCTTGTCCACCGTGTTCTGCCCGACAACAGAGGAATAGCAATGGTTAGACAATGGTTGTTCACACTCATGCCGCATCATTTTATAAAATCATTCATGTGCATACATTTGCCATTTATTAGATTGCTTTACTCCATAAAACAAGGAACTGGCACTCTCCCTTCAGAACAAACACATTTCAAAAGAAAAAACTGAATTTGTAGTGACAGACTAAAGGAGAAGACAGCTGTAACATGTTAATTCCTTTTAAAGAGGCAATAGTGGGCTGGGAAGAGGGGATTTATGGGAAATGCGGTCTTCATTTTGGGAAAAATGCATGAAAAAAATCACTATACAACCTGACAGATACATAGGCAAATGTTCATCTCTACTCTGCGGTTGTGGTAGCATTACATGTCGTTTGATTATGATATTCAAATGTACTAAACCTCTTTACATACAGTTTTCCCCCCTTATGTAACTTTTACAGCGAAACAATTCAATCTTATTCGATCCAAAGGTGTTCACAGCATTCTTTGTTATGATTGGACCAAAAGGAAAACCAACGTTTAATGAAATTGAAATATTCTAGCATGATGTTATACTCACCCGTAAATCCAGCAAAAAGATATTTGATATATTCCTTTATTTAGGATTTTAGCTAATATGGAAAATAAAGTTCTGCTTTGAACAAAGTTTGGCGGCACAGCATGAGTATTTTACGACTCATTTAACTTTTTACATATGTTCAAATAGGACTAAAGAAAATATATGCCAAACCATTTTTCCTATCTGCTGTCCATTTCTTTGCTTCTGCACATCCCCCTTCTCTTTAATTTTCTTACTTTCTGTCCATAACCTCTCTGTCCTTCCTCCCTCCTTCCTCTGTCTCCTTAATTCCTAGTCTTAATACTTCTTTGCTGTTTTCTTCAAAAGGAAGAAACTACGAGATAACACACAAACACTCCTGTACGCACACACACACACACACACACACACACACACACACACACTTAACACACTAATTAGCAAAGCAGTGGGGATTGCGCTTTCCCTTTACCCCACTTCAGAGGGAAACTGGGATACTAATAGTGTTGAATGGAGCTTAGGGGTGTCAATAGTGCCTCGCTGCTGATGTGGACACACACACATATACACGCACACGCACGCGCACGCACACGCACACACACACACACACACACACACACACACACACACACACACACACACACACACACACCCCCCCTCCCCCCCAGCAGCAGCAGCTTAACTCCGCCTTATGTTTGTAAAGTGTTTATTTCACCATACTCTGCTAGGTTTTAATAACACCGTCCTTCACATGCTGATATTTTTACCTCCTGGCTTTCTGTCTCATTTCCCCCTCAGATCATTACTTAAGAGAAGGATGGACTGCTGTGAAATGCATATGTGGTTTTATTTACTGTAAGTCTTTGCAAGTGGACACATGTGAAGCTGTGGGAGACTGACGGCATCAGAATTGTTTTAGTCATCTGTCTATGGAACCGTAACAGCAATAATTGCTCAGCAGAAGGCAAAAAAATACAGTTGACTTCCTGCTGAGTCACAATACATTGCACTATGACAAATGTATTTTCTCTTTCCCCATTATGACTATTATTCTGACTAACCCAGCAGCATCCTACAGGTTTGAAAAGTGATGCCAATGTGGAAGTGCCTTAAACCTGCATTCTCTATATTATCCAGCAGGGGGCAACTCCACTGGTTGGAGCAAAAAGAAGCCAGATTGTACAAGAGTCTGTGGGTGTTTCTCAATCGCGAGTACGCTTGCTTGGTAGCACATGTCTGCCGAGCATCTTGCTTCAGAAGCGAGTCAAGAATACTTCCTGCCATTCGGAAAACAAAGAGTGGAACAGGCTAGCAAGTGTGCAGGTGTGCGTCATATGAGAGGCCCCGCCTTACATCTTCCGCCACAGATTTGGGGAAATTGGTCCGTGCGCAAAGCATTGTGGGGATTTTAAGACCGCGAAGTCTACTCATGTGCAGCCTCGATATTTCTCCAAACGGAGTACGCCGGGCTCGGTAGATTTCCAAGTATGCTGGAGATTGGAACAGTACTTCGGCGGCACTCGATGACGTAGTATGCTTGAAATAGTGGCTCTGAAGCAGCTTTACTCGCGATTGAGAAACACCCTATGAAAAAAACACCCTACTTATTGACAATACTACCTGATTTATTATTAGTTTATTGTCCCAATCCTAGTTTTTAGTCTTCTTCAAAACAGCATGACATTGGTCCCATTAAGAATAAAATACAATATAACGCAGGGTATGCTTTAAGGTGTGGCTACAGTACCTTGTGAGAACCAGATTGCTACAACGGTGTTTTTAGATTTAGGTCTTGTCTATGTTTTGTCTAAGAAGTTTAACGCATTTAAAGTATGTTTTCGAAATGTAATCGCCTAAAAATCTGTTATTCAGCGTTCAGTTGCACATTTCTTTACCCTATCATGTCCCTTCTGGTTACTAAAAAACAATATAGCGACAACTAAAATGCCAAACTCAAGGCTTTAAAACCAATGGGTGACATCATGGCGGCTCCATCCACTTCCGTTACACAGTCTTTTGGCCTCCTGTGGCTCAGGAGGTATAGCAACATACAGTAGAGTCATTTCTCTATGAATACCATTTTGAAAGCATATTATAATGATAAAAAATTAATAGCCATTACTAAAAGACCCTTTCCTAATGCTCATCAGTTTTCTTTGTGTAAGATTTATGTTTGCAATTGATGTTATTACAGCTCTTTTCATTCAATTAGTGGTTATATTGGTTGAATAACACTCACATAGATGTCGAAAGAAAACTTAAAAAGAAACTTTCCATTAATGCAGCTTTCTATTTTCTCCTATAATCTGTTATGTCAGACACTTATATAACATTATACTCCAGTAGCTGCCAATGGGGAGTACTTCAGCTAACTATAAGATAGGGTTACATGCTCACACACTCACACACAATTTAATGTACAAAACTACTTGACAAAGTATAGCATCCCGACGAGTGGTTAGCTATTACTGGGTGTTATTAACAGCCTTTCTGTCTAGAGTGAGCGTGTAGGTGGAGTGGCAGCTAAGAACATGCATTAGTTCACACACACACACACACACACACACACACTTGCACATACACGCACAAAACATGGGTAATTACATGCACACTTAGCGTCTTAAGAGTCTGCGTGGGAGAGGCAGAGCAGGGAAAGGGGGCACATACAGTACAGAGCTCACACAATGTCCCCTGTATGTATTGGAACGGTTTGTGAGTGTAAAATGTGAGGGGGGTCCTGTGGGAAATCAAAAGTTAGTGTTGCCTTGTTTTCTATTTAAGTCAGCAACTTAAATGACTGTTTTCTTAACCTACCCGATACGTTTTGTTGGGGTATCGTTCTGTTTTTCTTTCCATTTACATAGTAAGAAAAACTGCAACCTTAATATAGGAGAACATATGTTTCCCATGATCAAGTAAAAGAGAATCTATGCACAGTTATAGGGTAAGGTTATTTTATAAGTTGATGAGAGACCTGTAGTTATGTTTGGATAACTTATCAAAAACTGAGTTAAGTGCACGTCATCATAACATAATAAACTGAATTGGTCACAGAACGTTTTGTCAGGTCATGTGATTTGGTGGCGGTTCAATGGAAAAACATTGGACCTTGAAAAAAATAAAATAAATGGTACATACTAAAAAAACAAATCTAACAAAAGTTGATTAGACTGTAGCTTAAAGCAAGCACACACACACACACACACACACACACACACACACACACACACACACACACACACACACACACACACACACACACACACACACACACACACACACACACACACACACACACACACACACACACACACACACACACACACACACACACACACACACACACACCCCCCCACACCCCCTGCCTTACCTTGAACTCATACGATTCCTCGATGATGACTTCCAGTTTGACGTGGTCTCCCAGCATGGGTCGGCCCATGTCAGCAACGCGCTGATCGTCTTCATCTTTTCCTGCCAGCGCCTCTTCATCCTCCTCCACTTCCTTCAGCTGTTCCTCTGAAAACACCACAAGACATCGCTGGCAATGTTAGAACAGGATGAGAACAATAAAGTATAAAGACTGCAAAGAGATGGAAAACAGGACAGGAGGGTAATGATGGTCGTTGATGATGGGACATGCGTTTACACACAGGGAAGACATACTGTAGCTTACAATCTTTCCACTCAAAGAAAGGACTTGAGTTAAGGTAAAGTAGATATTTAAGCTATAATTATATCAGTGATAAACAGGTCATAATATCTTCTTGCATTTAGGGGACAAGTCTGAGCCAAAACACTGCAGCAATTAGCATTTTGTGTTTGTGTTTTGGAGCATCCAAAGCCACTCGAAAATGCAATGTGGCCGCCATAACACCATGTATGGAAAAAGACTGAATTGAATGAAATTCTCACCTCTGGCCTCTATTCACCTTTGTGTTAACTTCATACCTAGATGTGTCTGTGGTTTCAATTGACATCATTACGTTTACACTGTTCAATAGTTATGGTAACATTACTAAATGAAAATGTCCTCATTATCTTTGGCTCTCTGTTTCTCACACACAACCCCTCCCTCCCCCCTCTCGTCTCCATTTTCTTCTATTACCCTTTTCTTGTGTCAGTAATTGAGATTCACTGTAGGGCCTTAACTCACTGCTGGGATCAAAGAGAGACAGGAAGAGGGAGAGTGGGGAGGAGAAATACAAAGAAAGGGGAAGGAGAGAGAAACGCCATGATCAAATGTTCCATGGGGGAACGGTTATCCATGCTATTGCCTCCCATCCTAGAGTGCAGTGCATTGTGGGGGTGCAGCTCATTGGTCATTTGTTCCCCTTAGTTGAGTGCATGGAGCTTAGAGCTGCACACATGCATGCCAATTCTAACTTCTACTGCATTGAAAGCAAGAAATCAATCCATCTGGCATTAAGGCCACCTTTGCATCCATGAAGCATGAGAGCTGGAGGTAGGAAGGGAAGCAACCGAAGCCTTGCAGACCCAAAGAAAAGCTGTCTGCCGTGTGACATTTTAAAAGATAGAATCACCTAACGTCCACCTGAAATTAAATTGCGAGTTATTTTTCTGCTACAGCACAGCCCAAAAGAGAGAAATGCTCAATTGTGTTAATGCTTTCTGACATTAATCAGTCATCTGATATGCACCTGTATAGATGGAGACAATAAAATGGCTTTATTTTAAACCATATTTACATAAATTAACATCATTTGTTAATCAAAAGCTATTTACTAGACTTCGAAATGTACCTTTTTTATTTTTTTACAACCAGGATAAAATCACAAAACTGTTTTTTTTACGTTTTGGTTTGAAGTCACAATTACTTTAATATACACACACTACACACACTAACTCACATGCACACACGCTCACTATCTAACCGTGATTTGATGAGCTCAATTAACAGCCCACACTAAACCTAATGTGGGATGAACACTGCCGGGGAGTATCCTTGTTAGCTACACTCCCTGTGTGTGTGTGTGTGTGTGTGTGTGTGTGTGTGTGTGTGTGTGTGTGTGTGTGTGTGTGTGTGTGTGTGTGTGTGTGTGTGTGTGTGTGTGTGTGTGTGTGTGTGTGTGTGTGTGTGTGTGTGTAACGGGGCCTGACAGAGGTTGAATGTTGCTGGGGAAGATGCTGCTTCTTGTCAAGGCTGCTGACTGTACCATTAATTATTCATTTTAGATTTGTTCTACCTGTCCTTCTCTCTGCTACCTTGCAGCAGCCGCTCGATTCAACAGCGTGCTTCACAGACTGAGCACACACACAGAATAATCACTGAAATATCTGCATAGAGTGGGAATCCAGTATTGAAATTGGGCATTTTACTGTAGTTTTTCTCCTCAAATGTGTGTGCTGCATCTTTCAATACAGGCAGCAACAAAAAATAGAGCAGGACATAATCTACCTCCGCCCCATCCCTGAATATCTCTCTGTGTTACATAACTGTTTCTAACCCCTTCTCCTTCTTTCTTAATCTTCATTTGCCTTTCATCTACTCTCTGTCATCTCATCCTCCTCTCCCTGCCTTTCTTTTGACTTCATTCTTTCCTGGTATGATTTCAATTCAAATGAGCTTCAGCAAACCACCTCCCATCATCTAACTGCCAACAACCCAGAAAAAAGGTTGACTTTTCCATCGTTTGTGGTCTATTGTTCCTCAATTAGCACCTTTAAATGTTGGTAATACATCCTTATTATTATTATTATTATCGTATCATCTTATTTATGTTTCACCTGTCTGTACACAGTTAGAAATAACAGAAGTTGTTCCAGTGCTACATATCAGTCATAAACTAAACTTGTATCAGCCTTGTTTTTAGCAAACCACACCCCTAGAATGATGTCCAATTAGTACAGATGTAATAGAAGTGCAATGTACAGATTCAGTTTAAATGATGAGATCGACAAAAATGTAAAGTTGTAACAATGGAAGAATCAAAAGCAAAGTCTTCGAAATGAAGTGAAATAGTCTAACATAACATAACATATGTCGTTGCTGCTACATTGTACTGCCTTGTGGCTTGTATGCTGCTCATGCTCTTTCTGCATATCATGTATTTCTGTTTGCCATGTATATAAATGTTATGTTCATAAATGTTGTATGTGACGGGACTACGGATGGAAACTAGCGCGAAGCTAAAATCTGGGTCATTTACATTTACAAGCATTATTTTGTTTAAAATGTTCATTAATGTGCACTGTCCCGGTTCAAATAAAAATAAAAAATAAATAAAAATAAGACTGTGCCTTGAAAATATGTTCTTAGACTTTTCAATTTGACAGTGTAGTGCAGTGTTCACTTCACATTGAAACACCATGAAATGTGACTGTCTAGTCTGGATAAAACATGGGTCAATATGTGCTGATGAGAGGTAGTGCTGTGAGTGTGTGTGTGTGTGTGTGTGTGTGTGTGTGTGTGTGTGTGTGTGTGTGTGTGTGAGTGAGTGTACGTGTGTGTGTGTAGTGCGATTTCACACATTGTCATGCTTTGATAGAGTCCCTAGTTCAACAGAAGTGATGGGAGAACACAGGGAGAGAGGAGGAGAGGAGAGGAGAGGATTTTGACACCCTTTTATGTTTGATGGATTCAGCTTCCATTAAAGAGACAGAAGAGGAGGGTGAAGTTAGGAAGGAGGGGAGGTGTCTTTCCAAACTGCCAACATGTAAAGGCAAAAGGATGAGCAGAGAGGGGAGAAACTTCTGCGCCCTGTCGAGGAGGAGACGAGCAGATGGAAGCAGAAAGCAGACAGGAGAAGATGTGATTTTGACGGGAGGAAACTGTACGAGGCAAGGAGGAGGAAGAAGAAGGAGCTACTGTCACACTTTGGGAGATTCCCATCGGAGGAGACAGAATAGGAGCCGAGGAGAGGAGAGGAGAGGAGGAGGGAAAACAAGTGGAACTTTGAACAAGTTGTGTCTGTCCACAGGGGAGGAGACGAGGACGGATACAAGGGATACAAAAGAGGGCGAAGACATATGAAGGAAGTTGGTAGGAAAGAGTGAGAAGAGGAAAAGGGAAAAGGAGAGAGGGTGAGAGATTTGAGGAGGATTATGGGGAGTAAAGAGGAAGAAATAATGGAAGATAGATCAAATGTACGATAGGGAAGTGACAGATGAGGAAGAGACAAAGGCAAGAGGAAAGAGAAGCAGGAAGTCAAAAGTCGAGAAGGGGACAAAGGAGGAAATCAAGGAGGCAGATGAGGATGAGAAAGGATAAGAAAAGGAGATGGAAATTAAATGATAGTAGCAAAAGGAAGGGAATAGGAGGGATAAAAGGGGAAGGTAGGAAAGGAAGGTAATAGTTTAAAGGAAATGTATGCTTCTCTATGGTCACATGTATATTGCTCTTTACGATGTAGATGTGTGCGTCTATGCATGTTTTTACTGTACTGTGTGTACGTGTGTTAGGACATGGGGTCAGCACCCTCTGCAGGGTGTGTGTTTTCAGCTGGTTCCCCTCCTTTCTCCCACCCGAATGAGGTTCACAGGCTGAAGTGAACTCTCCTCTGCCTCCTGCTGCTCCTCAAAAACCTGCCATATCTCAGGGTCAGCTAACATCTTCTAAACCCTCCATTGAATACATATTTTACCTCCAGATAAAATGAGTGTGAACGCCCAAAACATCTTCAGAGGGGGTCAAATAAGCATTCAAGTTTTTGAACCTGCCTGACATATCCTGAACAACACTATGACTGCACAATGGTCTTAACGTGCAAATACTTAATATCAGGCTCCACCTGCACCAACAAACCAAAGCAGTTCACACCTGCTCACTAGAGGCTGCTGAAAGGCTTTCTAGAACATGACAAAAAAACTCTGCCAGAAATGGGGCGAAGCCTGCGAGCTAGTTCAGGCAGTCGACTCGAGCACTTATGCTGCATTCATACATAACGCCCCTTGCCACTCTACAACCAACCAAACAGAGTCTCTTAATATGCCGCTCTATTTAACCTGCCAGATATCTCTCTATGCATTGCTTGCTGCTGCTTGCCTGCCCCACCACCACCCCAGCTTCCACCTGTAGGCTCGGGGGGTTAGTTATTTAATCATCACTCATCGTGCTATGTATATCTGTGGAGTGATGAGGCCCGAGCCTAGACGCCAAACTCAACTATATGCTGCTTTTAATAAACATGTTAAAGAAACACGTGAGTTGTCTGACTGAAATAGAGGAGGAGGAAATAGGTTAATGGAAAACTAAATCACAAGTTCTTTCATTCGCTCCTGAACAAATGGGACCTTGAAGCAGCTGCTGAATTATTTGGGGGGAAGCAGATTCTGATTGGAAATATTGGAGCGGTTTACATTGGAGGGAAACATTATTTTTATGCTCTAAACTAGGGACTACTTTCCTTGTAGGTTGTGTGGAAGTAATGTTGAAAAAGCTAAACATATAACAAAGAACTGCTTGTGGCTCATTTGGGGATTTATATTTTCTTCAAATAATACTGGTCTCCTAAAAAAAAAAGCCATCGCCAATTTTCTCTCTCGACTGGAAAAATCATACTTATTTGAAGCTGAACCGAGTTTTTCTGCATTTCTTGTTTTATTTTGTTTTAGGTTTCTTTAGTATTTTGGTGTCCTGAGAAAAAAGTAAGATTTCTGATTATCCACCTTCTTAAAAACTGCGACTTTTAGTTTAGGAGAAAAAACATTTCAGTTTACAGTATGTGAAATATAACTTGACAGGGTTGACATTATAGGCAAGATGCAAACACCTGGTACATTTGCACATTATCCTACCCCTAATTGAAGCTTTTAATTATGTTCTTTTCAAAAAGGATCTGCACCTCTACGTTCATGTCACTCTCGTTAATGTAAATGTACTTTTTAAGCTGCATAACATATCACAGACCAGCAGCAGCAGCCCCTAACTGTTTATTCAGCACTGCTAAAGCCTTGTAATTCATTCACGTCTCTCCCGTCCTCAGTCAAACAGCTCCAAGAGAAACGACTGAACTACACTGTTTCTTTCCATCTCTCTGTATAACGTGTAGCTCCTCATATCAGCTCAGCAGATGTCAGATCCAATGCTTGTTTATTCAGTACCTTAATCCTGTCAACCCTGTTTGCTTACAGCCAAATAAAGAAATGCAAATGAAACAAAATCAACAGAAAAGAATATCAGGCTTTTTATCTCCGGCTCTGAGGCATTTCATTTCTGAAGAACTGGTTTGACAGAAGATGAAATGTGGAGTTACTGGATAAGAAAAGCTGACTCTGTTCTTTCACTCGCACACTCCCTGAATGTTAAAGCTGTTTTCTGGGATTTACATCTGAAGGAGCAATTCACACATTAATCAACATTAGAGAGCGGTTTCAGCTACTGTCTCTGGGGCAGGCTGCTTACAAGCCTGTTTGAAACATGTGGGGTTGAGCCAGAACGCATTGGGAAAATCAATGTAACATTCTACGGTCTCTCTGCAGCGGTTACTGTGTGAGACGGATTCATTCATTGAAAGCTTTTTGTAAATATTAATACAGAACTCGAGAGGGAAAAACATGAAATACCAAATCTCAGTTGGAAGACAGACTGTTTCATGTTGCTGATACTATGCGCATTTGTAATATAGATGTTGTTATGAGATGATTGGCTTGTATTGCTGAGTAAAATGATCAGGGAAAACTTTGATTAACAGTTTTGCTGCAGTATTTTTACTTTTAATTACACATTAAGCACCCGTGATATTAATATCTCGAATTCCTTCATGCAGCATGGGCTGGGTTTAAAATGATGTATGATTAAAATGGTAATCATACAATAATTAAACCAAATTACTGTGCGTGGTTATATAGGGTTTTGCAATCAAATTATATAACAAATACGTTTTTCTTTGTGGTTATTTTGATCGGTCCTGACCATAACATGTGAGTTATAGTATCATTTTACAGCACAACGATCCAAGATGGTCTATCGTGGGTATCATGCGTCATGGGCTGAGGCCATAAAGATCTGTGCAGGGCTAATTTAGCACAGAGAGAATCAGCACATCAGCTCATAAAACACACTCATTAAACACACCAGCCCACTGCTTACGGAAAGTACGGCTATGTGTATTTGTGTGTGTGTGTCTGTGTGTGTCTTCGTCTCTCTATCCTGGAGGTGTGTTTGATCTCCTGACTGTGATAATGTGATATCCAGCCCTCGTCTTTGATCCCCTCATCACTATAAACACTGCTGATGCCTGATACACACACACTGCCATTACCACACTGATAGCAATGTTCTCTCTGTGTGTCTAGTCGTGTGTGTGTGTGTGTGTGTGTGTGTGTGTGTGTGTGTGTGTGTGTGTGTGTGTGTGTGTGTGTGTGTGTGTGTGTGTGTGTGTGTGTGTGTGTGTGTGTGTGTGTGTGTGTGTGAGGGATAAAGAGGGCATGAAAACACCTTAAGACAACATCATGAAAACACTGCGTTTGCTGATCTACCTCAAACTACATCCATGCACACTTATCTTTTATTTTATATATTTGTCTTATGTTGTGTAACCAACGAAATAGATCACTACTACAACAGCTGTTACGGATATCTCAATCACTAGTCTGTGTCTGCGTTGGAAAGGCAATAAATAACCAGTGGAAAATCGCCTGTGTTTTTACAACTCTGTATCACATTAGCTGGTAATAGAAGAGGGAGATGAGAAGCATGGAAGTGATAACGGATAAACAGTGGAAAATGGATGTACACACACACACACACACACACACACACACACACACACACACGCACATCTGAAACCATAACCACCATGGGGTTTTAATTTCATAAATGTTCACAGTCTAATTGACAATGATCAGTTAGTGGCCTAACAGCCATTCGCTACAGAGACAGGTAGGTTTAATGGTCTCCCTGAGAAGGAGAGGCTTTGCTTGTTATATGATTCAGATGAGACTGAAGGCAATGTAAATGTAATGCTTCTCCTCTCTTTTTATTATACCAGGAAATGGTAATGGTACACTGTGAACATCCAGGAAATGTTATTAATTTACTCCATGAAGCAGGATCATTCTCTCCCTGTGATGCCACCCAGCTTCAGTGTTTTATATAGTTTAACACAACAGCAGTCTTTCTCATGACAACAATGTCTTTTCTATGCTATTTCCTTAAGAATCTGCATCAAAATGTGTGACATGTCTGTGCTCTGGGGGTTTCTTTCTTACCATGAGACCAGAACGTAAGACTTGCTGTAGGGCAATTCGTTGGTGCTGTAAAGGGAATGTATGTGCCTGTAAATGCCATTCACATGATAGCCATACACACAGTGAACATCCTTTAAGATCTGTTCATGTCTTTTGGTGCGCTTAATCCATAAACTGTGACATTTTAAAACACCAGCAGAGAACAGATCTCCAAGCTTGAAGAGCTCTCAGGTGGATAAGGAGGAACAAGAGGATCAGCAGTGCAGAGGAAAAGAGAAGGAGAGGAAGGAGAGGACAGGTGTGATTCCCACTAAGACCTCTGAGGAGAAGCAGAGGAGGAAACGTAGAAAAAAAGGAAGAAATAACTGAGGAATACAGAAGGGAGCAGCAGGATCGCTCCTGTGTGTTAAACCTAAATCCCAAACCAACAGGCCGTTTAAAACCGAAGCGATTAGGGAGCAGTGTTGCGTTTTGTCACTTTGAAAATACTGCATGAGTGTAAATGATGCTTTGGTTTGACTTCTTGTAGCATTGCCAGTTTTTAAGTGCTTTATTTCCCTTGCCAGCTTTAAAGTGCTCCTGCCTGGGCTATATTTGGGCTTTTTGTGAAATAAATGTGCATTAAATTGCACAAAGTCCACTGAGACAAACATCACACCTACTGTACGATGTCCTCTAACCAGTCTTGTCTCTTTGCTTTGCCTCCATTTTGGGCCTTTCTGTGCTATACTTCCTAAACATCAGCTAACGATCAAATAATCAAAGTGTTTTCTCGATGGATATTTCTGTTGCTGATGTGTTTTTTCTATAGATGCCTCTCTTTACTATCGCCCACGTCTTTACTCCATAATAACTGCATGAAGTATGAAGTATTGTAGTAGAAATACGTGTTTTTCACTAAATAAAACAATAATTGGCAACTGACAAATACTGTTAATTAGAATAAATGGCACAAAAAGTGTTTTTCCAGACATTTTATCGTTTGTTTTCTGTGGTGTTTCTAGAGCTGTTTCTTTAGCATCCAAAAAAAAATAGTTTTTCTTGCTGTAACAAGCACGCCATTTCCTTTGTGGAATGCAATGTGGTGGAAAAGCATCCAAAAACACTCCGGTTGGATTAATGCATAGGTGTGGTAAGTGTTATGTAAGTGTGCCTGCAAACTCTTAAGTTCCCATTATGCATGCTCTGCTTTGTACAGTTTTTTGACATCACATCTAAACTTAGGAACAAACTTTAGGTGATGTTAAATAATATTATTCTGTCGTTGTATCCCTTTAAACTCATGGTTACATTAAAGTCAAAAGGGTATGACTGCTGCAAGTACAGCTAAGAGTAACATAGCTGCTTATGTATGCATTATTATCAATGTGTGTGCTTGTGTAATCAGATAAGGTCAATCCGTACCTAGCATTACTATAATATCAGTTGTATTATAATAGTTTTAGTATATAATTAGAACACACTTATAATCTTAACAGCTATATAGGTTATTTCTCTTATTCTGAAAACAATTATAACAGCTTCTGCGTCAGAACATCTTTGGTGAGGTGACTTTAGTGTGAATTCATCGTAATAAATAATATATTGAAGGTTAAAACATAAAAGTTAATTATGCATTTGGCCTGCTGATTTGGGATTCTCTAAAACCTTGATTAAATTCATTCTCAGTGCTGATTGGCTGTCACACCTGTCCGTTCCTTCCCGCTGCGTCTCCATTCGGGCTGCTCAAGCAGGACGTAGAAGGAGGACTGCTTATTGTACTCCTCCCGGTCTAAGATCCTAAGGGTTATGGTCTTCCTGTATGGGAACACACGTACACACATACATAGAGGGAGGTCATGAATGCATGCATGGCAAACAAACAACATGGCAAGGTATGTACACATAAACAAAACACACGCGCGCACACACACACACACACACACACGTGAGGTGGAGGAGTGGATGTGGTGAGATGAGGTGATCCACAAACTGCTGCATGTTCACTGTCATGGTGAGGACACATCAGGAGAAATGAATCTAAATCTCCTCCATGTGATGAGAACATGCAGCCTCGGCAATGTGGCCGGGGGTCAAGAGGTCACGAGGCCCCCCCCCACCCCCCTTCCTGACCTTTGGTGTCGTTGCTCCCCACCAGGCGAGGCCCTGAGATCTCTAAGTAGAAGGTTTTGTTCTTCTCGTACTCCTCGTCGTCGATTACTCTCACCTTGATGATTTTACTGAGGAAGGGGAAGAAGGAAGAGAGGAAAAGGGAAAAAAGAGAAGGCAGAACAGTGAGGAAAAGGACAGGCTGGACAGTAGAAAACCAAGAGGAAGCAGAAAAGAGCAGCATTTGGTTTTCCCACAGGCAATCGTTTTAAAAGAATGTCAATACCTCCAACAACGTCTAGTTTTTTCATTTTATTTTCAATCTTTATTTCGAACAGATTAAAAAAATCACAAATAAAAAATAACAAATGTGAAAAACAGAATACCGTATTGTTAAAATACAGAATGTATCCACATTCACGATAATATTTATATATTCAACAACAAAAAAAGTCTTCATATTAATAATAATAATAATAATTTAAAAAAATCATATGTGTCCAAAAGCGAGTAGGAGGAAGCAAATGCTTATTAATTCCCACCCCTTACTTGATCAATGATTGTCCTTTAAGTCATTATGCAAGTTATTCCTACCTACATTTATACATACATACTGTACACAATAATTTCTCAATTCAATTCAATCGTACACTCAGGATGTCCGCCTTTTTTTTTTTTTAAACTACAACTTTGGGACTTGGATGCTAAAAGCTAAATTAAGTCTGGCAGTGTCTGGAGAGTTTAGAAACTCAATTTTGGCAGGCAAACAATTATGACTCATGATTATGAATCTGACTCGTACAGTTAGGAAGCTTTTAGGATCCAGCTGCTGGTTTAGTTTGTTGCATTTTACACACACATTGACTACGACTATCATAAGATGATTGGACATAATTAAAGCCATGCAGTGACAATTGTTGAAGTCTAAATGTTTGTCATTTCATCATTAATCCTTTCTAGTTCATTTAGCGGAAGATGCCTGTGGGAAACCCGGGACAAATCACCATCAATTCAGCCAATTCGTGTTTAAATTAAATCAAAAATCTATAGTACAAGTTGCAGTTGAATGGTTATGACACTCAGAAATAAAAATAGTACAAAATAGCACTAGCAAATGAGTTATCAATTATTTCATATTTGGCTGAATTGAAAGTGACGTGAGATTGACTGCAGTTTTTAAAGTTGCACAGATCAGCATATTGACAAGTCTGAGACATTAAAAGAAGAAAACATGATCCAAGATCAGATTCAATGAAAAAGAATTAGCAAGAAAATAATAAGAAAGAAGGAATGATTCTTTGCACTGAAAAATATGTCTGCTGCTGCATTGAACACCTCCAAGAAGACACCAGCTCTAATTTGTGACTTAAACCATAGAAAACCACTTAAAAATCAGAAAAAGCAACATGCTAATGTGCCGCAAATGAAACAGCACATAAACAACAAAACCCTCTTTGCAAATACTTCTTGTTTGCAACTTGCTAAATGCTACATTTGACAAAAATCTGTCCGATGAGCCAATGTCTCATCCGTCACACATATGATTATGTTCTGCTATCATCCTCCATCTAAACCTTCTCAACGTCAGATAAAGAACTAGCAATAAAACCACAGGGATACTGTCACACACTGTTTGGTCCAGTTTTCACCAATACAGACAAGTGTAGCTCCTGCTATTGGTCAACCAGAGCTCCAGTGATACTCAGAGTGGAGTGTGTTTGTGACTGTGTGTATTTATTGTGTCACTTGGCCGTAGTCACATTTGGCAGGGGAGCTAATATCTGAGGTCACAGGGCTATGGAGCGGTGCGCAGTGTGTTTACAGTGTGTGTGTGTGTGTGTGTGTATGTGTGTGTGTGTGTGTGTGTGTGTGTGTGTGTGTGTGTGCGTTTATCTGAGTTTCCAGTCTGGAACAAAAGCCCTATTCTGATCCAAATCCACTACAGGCAATAACAGAGAAGAGGGATAGGATACTTCCTAATCCGGGCTATAGGATGTCAAATGGGAACGGGAACACACACACACACACACACACACACACACACACACACACACACACACACACACACACACACACACACACACACACACACACACACACACACACACACACACACACACACACACACACACACACACACACACACACACACACACACACACACACACACACACACAGTATTTCACCTGTCTCCAGCATGCAGTCTGCGCTAGTTTTAGCTAACTGAGAGTAGCAATAACAAACAACAAATGTATTGAATTCCCAGGAGCACACAGTAAAGTGCAGAATGACTCCTTTTCAGGATGGTAGAATATAATATATCCAATATATCATCACTCAGGGAAAAAGTGACTCACATGTCCTTTTTAGACAGTTCAGAACATGGATTACAAACCAACAAATCGGCCAGCACTAGTTTGGATTGATTTATCATTAGACAGATGTCCGTAAAAACACAACTTGTATGCTGCTAATCTGCCCATTACTTAACTCATATCAGTGCTACTGCTATCCTGTTTCGTATCACTGTATTTGGAAAGCTTTTCTTTATTTTAAGCTGTTCTGTAATAGTTTGGGTTTGCTTTGTTGGCTTGTAACTTGACCTGCTGTTACTGCTGCCCAAATCTGGTTTGATCTCTGTCTGGTTTACTATTAATGTAATTGGTATGCCTTATATCATGATTATTTGTTGAACCTGTTTCTTGCTTTTATTCTGCCAACTTTTGTTAGCTGCCTGGCTAATTCTGGCATATTACTGTAACAGTAATGCTTTTAATATGCTCTAACCCTGAAAATACAAATAGGAAGAGCACAGTACTTCAATCTGAAATGGGTAAAAACTAGCATAACATTGCAATGCTTGGGTTAAATTCCCTAAAAAGTGCTCAGTAAATGAATACATCTTAATTTCTACATGCTAGCACCACCAGCCTTGGCATCTGCAGCATTGCTAATTGATGACAGAAGACATAAAGCGGCCTACTAATCACCTAATTATACATAAGCGCACCATAGGTTAATCTGCCAGCTGCAGCACACAAACAGAGTAAAGGGTAAACCATTCAAATGTTGTGTACAAACGACAACACATGAAAATGTCAAGGGTTACCTCATTACACTGGAGGGATTACACCATTTATCACTGTCCTGTAACGGCAGATGGAGAGCAGTTTTCACCCTCTGGCCTCGAGAAGCTGATGACCAACAGGCTGTCACTAAACACTCACACAGCAGCTGATGTGAGAGAGGGAATTATTACCCTGCCTCAAGGTGGAGCCCTTGAGCAAGGCCCTTTATACCTCCAAACTGATAGTGGAAGAGCTAAGGGAATAGTTGTGTTTATATTCCACTGGGAATATAATTGCTGCTGCAACTACTTCAATTTATACAAGGTTTATAACCAATGGAGGAATAGTATACAGGCAATTATTATAATTCTGTCTCTTTGTATCACATTTATGAGATATGGAAAGTCAGTTTTACAATGTTGTTGATTGGCTCCTTTTCTGCTATGTCCACCTCCTCACTTTGCACCCACATTGCTAACAAAGCTCTCATTAAAAGTCCACAGCAGCCTCATCAGCAATACATCAATCACAGACGGACCAGTAGCAGTACTATTCCCATGTGCGCAGGATTTGGGGCTGAATTTATTACCAGAACAAATGTTTTTGTATCATTACCCTAATCTTTTAGTGCCTTTGTCAAACATTCGACCAGTAATGGCTCTCTGACTTGAAATCCGATGACTTAAATGACTCTCCGCGTGGAGTGACAATCGAAACTGTGATTCAACTCTTGATATGGTCGTGAAAATTAGCAAATAAATCATCTTTACAGCGAGACACAGACTGCTTTCCCCCCGAATGATGACTCCTCTGTTGAAGCTGGCAAACCTCACAGATGACCAACTGCTGGAAAGACATGCACACACACACAACCACACACACACATTCTCACATACGGTACTTGTTTAGTCAAACAGACAGATCCAGACAGTGCATCCATGCAGATATAATTCATCCACAATTAACTCCATTTATCGTCTTTATTCGCACCCCTCCTACTCCTCCCTCTTTTTTTACACCTAAACACACACACAAAAACGCACACACACACACACACACACACTTCCCTCCACATGACAAACATGCTGGCTGTACAGTGCGCTGTCCCATTGCCATGGAAACGCAATGTTTGGGTAACCAACAGGGGTGGAGAAGATTGTTTCCAGACCAATGATGTGTGTGTCTGTGTGTGTGTGTCTACGTGTGTGTGTGTGTGTGTGTGTGTGTGTGTGTGTGTGTGTGTGTGTGTGTCTGTGTGTGTGTGTCTGTGTGTGTGTGTGTGTGTGTGTCTGTGTGTGTGTGTGTGTGTGTGTATGTGTGTCTGTGTGTGAGCTAGTGAGTGTGTTCCAGAGAGAGAGAAAGCGGGAAAGAGGTCACATACTGTACACACACCACCCTGATTTGTATGTGTCAGTGTATATACTTGTGCGTGTGTGTCTGTAATAACGTATGTGAGAGACACCCTGATAGAACACAGTAGCCTTCATTGTTTGTAGTAAGTGGTGTCTCGTTGTGTGTCTGTTGTTCATCACATGTTCATCTATAAATCATAAATTAGAGGGAAAAGTAAACAAATGCATGTGTTTGAGAAACATGTGATCGGGACACTTAATGAATGTTGATCATGGTTGATCACGCTACGCAGAAAGTATTTGCTGTTCTCCACAGTCTTGGCGGAGTGTTGAAGTGCACATTTTAAGCCCATACGCAGGTGACGTAAAGCATTGCAACAATCTGCCTCCGTGGCTGCTAGATATTTGATGAAGTTAGTGTCTGGGCTTTAAGATTATGTTTCTTTCATTTAGCTGATGCTTTTATCCAAAGCCATTTAGAATAAGCACATTAAACCCTGATAAACAAACTAAAAAAACAAGAATCACAAAGGTAAATAAGCTTTCAGTAAGCCAAACCATTGTACATGCTGCTGCATTGACTTTAAATAATCCAACCCTTTCAAAGTGCTTCATAAAGAACAGAGAATTTATTTTATTGGCCAAGTTGCAGTCACAACAGGTGGGGTTTCAGTCTGCGACGGAAGATGTGTAGCCTTAAAACCATGTGTA